ATGGATGGATGGATGGATGGATTGATTGATTGATTGATTAACGGGGTTAACAGGGTTACCAGGGTCAAGAAGTGAACGGTGCTGGAGAGGCGGACGGTGAGGGATGGATCTGGTGACTCTGGGTCTCTTCAAAGGGAGCTGCTGAATCCTTTTCTGTGGTTCAGTCTTTTACATTCATTAGGACTCCGGGGACCTGCTGCCTTATTGTGATTCCTCTTCGCCATCTCTAGAGATGAACAGGTGGACTGGAGAGGCAGCAGCTCTGTCTTCTGATCTTGTAGAAAACAATCACCTAGAAGCAGGAGGATCCCTTCCTCCTTCCTCAACCCTTCCCTCCTTCCTTCCTCAAACCTTCCCTTCCCCCTTCCTCAATCCTTTCCTTCCTCAACTCTTCCCTTCCTCCTTCCTCAACCCTTCCCTTCTTCCTTCCTCAACATCTTCCCTTCCTCAAGCCTTCCCTTCCTTCTTCCTTATTGCTTGTTTTTCTTTATCTCTTCCTTCAGATAACTGCTGATGATGGGCTTTTATTGGGGAGCCATTTCACTTTTCATTCACACAGAGCTTTATTTAGTCGCTCACACTCCATCAATGTATTATCATTATTATGATGATGATGATGATTATTATTATTCCAATGTAGACAGATCTCTGTATGCAATAATAAACTGACCTGATGAAGGCTCCAGCAGAGATGGACTGAGATCTTCTGGAGTTTGGCTTCATCTGACTGGGCAGCAGTGAGATCCTGTATCAGTAGTTAATGACAACATATACATTATGATTATGACGACCCAAAGAAAAGTACATGCCTACAGTCTTTATTTCTTGTGATGTTTTTACTATGTTGAATTAATTTAAGCTTTCTTGTCTGACCTATAATTGCTCTGCTTTTACATTTTGTCTTGTTATTTTTTCTGTGTCTGTCTGAAAAATTCTACCAATAACAATGATTAGCATAAAGTGTATCTGAATTATTCTTTTTGGTCTGCCTGATTCCCAGCATCAGAGCTTTCCTGAATCCCTACCTGGATTCCGAATGCAGGACTCACTGCTGTGAACCTGATTGGCTGTGATGCTGTCATCCTCAATCTATCAGACGGAAGGCTGCACGTCAGCCTTGAAATGGTCAAATGTTACTCAGCAGTCATCTCTTATTGTCAAACATCATTAACAGTTGTCTATATATATATTTAAAAAAAACAGTCGACAGACTTTTGTTTGTTTGCCACTATCAGGAAGGTAGAATAGAAGGATTATTTCCTGATCCTGCTGGATTTGGATTAAGGTTTAAGGGTTCTAATGAACATAGAACACTTAAATATATACATACAATTTAATAGAGAAATTACTATAAATTAATGAATGGATTATGAATTATAACGATAATTTGATTTGAGTAGAGCTCTAGTTTCCATCCGTCATCCATCCATCCATCCATCCATCCATCCATCCATCC